GCTATCCCAGCTGTCCCCTGTCCCCAGCCCAGCCTGGTCCAGCTGTCCCCAGACTGTCCCCAGCCCAGCTCAGTCCTGCTGTCCCCATCCTGGGGCTATTCCAGCTGTCCCCATCCCCTGTCCCCAGCCCAGCTCAGTCCCACTGTCCCCATCCCTTGTCCCCAGCTGTCCCCTGTCTCCAGCCCGAGCTAGCCCAGCTGTCCCCTGACCCCATCCACTGTCCCCAACCTGGACTATCCCAGCTGTCCCTTGTCCTCAGCCGTGCCTGCTCTGGCTGCCCCCAGTCTCTGTCCCCAGCCCAGCTCAGTTCCACTGTCCCCATCCCCTGTCCCCAACCTGGGCTATCCCAGCTGTCCCCTCTCCCCAGCCCAGCCTGGTCCAGCTCTCCCCATCTCCTGTCCCCAGCCTGAGCTATCCCAGCTGTCCCCTCTCCCCTGCCCAGCCTCATCCAGCCATCCCCTGTCCCCAGCCCCTGTCCCCTGCCCTGCCAGACCCCCTGCCCATCTCTGCCCTCTCCCATCACCAGTGCCTGCCCACAGCCTGCCACCGCTCCAGTCTGCGCTTGCAGGCACAAGGAGAAGGATTTCCTGGTGACACCATAGGACCATTTCCAGCAAGAAAACTTTAATTTCACACATCAGCCTTGTGAGTCCTTATTTCTCATACTTCATCTGTAATTCTTTAAAATATTTTGCAGGAGAACTAGTCCCAAAGCTGAGCTGCAAAGGTTACTTGTGCTAGTGGAGAAAACCAGAGAGGTTTTCAGCTTCCTGCAAGAACGGGCAAGTTTGTTTCCTAATTTAAAGTCTTTGTTGTGCATTAGATGTGCCAGTAAGGCTTCAGCAGCAGCAGAGCAAAATAGCTGCTGCAGTCGGGGTAATTTTGAGACATCGAGCATGGGAATTTGCACTTTCTAATTAAGCAAGAAAAGGGGGTAAGTGGCTTTGCGAGTCGTGGTTTGTAACACATTTCATTGGCAGCTGTCAGGACAGTTCATGTTCTTCCCAGTTTCCTGATTCCTCCTAGAAACCAGGAGCAGAAGGCAGTTTTCTTGGGTCTGGTCCCAGTCCTTAGCCCCTAAAAAGACTTTCTTTGACCCAAACCGTACCCCCTGAGCACGTGCCCCATCCTGAAAGTCAGACAGCCCCGTGCTGCCAGTATAAATCAGGAGCATCCGCAAAGTGTATCCAGAGCACAATCAGAGAACGTAATTTATATGGACGTTATCCTTAAGGAGTTTGTTTTCTGAATAATTTCATTTTTCCCTAAGAGAATAAAACCCGTAACTTTAAACAAAGCCATAACAGAACCTCAAGTCTGCAGAGGAGATAAAAATCCAGACTAAAATTATTTTTTAAACAATTTGGGGAAAAAAAGCGGAGCCAAGTAGCTGTACCAGCACAATGCTATTTCCTTCTAAACGCTCCCATGATGGGAACTTTATAAAAGCAACCGATCATCAACCTCAAATCGTTTAAAACAGAGGCTCTCCCTTGGGACATCTTGCTTCCCGTCGCAGTTAGGGAGCTCTGCCTGTCCCAGCTCTGATCAAATAACATCCCCGGGGCAAGCCCACGATTTGCCTGCTCGGAAAGGTAGATTTAGTAAATTATTTACGGTGTGTTTAGTGGCCTTTTAAAGCAATTCAGGAGTGGAAAATGGGGAAGAGCCAGCCCATAGGAATAAACCACTTTGTGCGGATGGTAGCAAAGGCTTCAAAATACTACGTAGTCAGGGAGCCTGGCCCTGATTTGCCTCGCCTGGAAAAAAAAAACCTGCAGCCTCTCTCGTTGCAAAGCCCTGCACATATGGGAACAGGCTGGGGACCAGGCGGGCAGAGATGGCAGATCTCCTCCCTTTCCGCGGCCTCAGATCAGCTTCCATCGATCACAAAGCCCCACCCAGAGTTTTGTAACCGCTTTAAACTGGCAGAAATTGGCACTTCTGCCAAAAGAAGCCTCCTCCGCTCCCAGCTGCTCGTTCCCTCTCCTGTGCTGGCACAAGGATTCGAGTGGCTTGCATAAATGAGCTAGAACGGGCTGCTCTGAATTAAAATTAATTCAGCACACGCAGAGGAAAAGCTAATTTTTAACATAGGGAAGACATGTATCCACCACTCCCACAAAACGCAACCTCAGGAAAGAGGGAGCTAAAAGCAGTGGGCCCTGTTTTGCCAATCTACGCCAAAATACGTAACTAGAAAAAGCAAAGTATGGGGCAAGGCAGTGCTGGAGGGTCTTGGGCTACTTGGGATCCTCCTCTGATGCTCCTTGGGTGCTCCCCACAAGGAGAGCTTTGGTGGGGTGGGGACATCCAGAGGAGCAGGGACACCATTTTAAGCAGGAACTGGCTCTTCTCCAGGCAACAGAGAGGAGCATCCTCCCTCGAGGCACACAGTCCTTGCACATATCTCCCCTGAGATGCATGCAGAGGTCGAAGGAGAAACAAGGATGCTGCATCACTAAAATAAATGCTTTTTTTCTTTCCAGCCCACCGTGAGGAAGCGCTACCCATTCAGCCGCTCACCCATTCACCACTCAATGCCTGTTACAAGCAACGCGTCTGAAAACTACAGGAATTCACGGTGCTCGTTCTTTGTTCATAGCACTACGCTCGTTTGACGCTTGTTTGTAAGTCTAATTTAATTAAAAAAACAGTAAAAAGCAAGTGCAGGTTTTTGATGCTGCGCTGGCAGGGTGTCTGCATGTGAGAAAACACCCCAGAGAGGGTAGCACATTTAAGAGAAATTAAATTGTCTCATTCAGCCCAGAATAAACACAGTGCTAATCCCTCTAATGGCCTTAAACATCACCCGAACTGTGGATCTAGTGACAAGCAGGCAATAGGACCCAATTAAGCTGCTCACACGTTTGAAATCATGGCCTCATCAGCTTTGGTTTAGTCTGGAGTCTCTCGATGGCTTTCCGTAAACTTGCTGAGACAAGCTAAACCACCAAACTTCGTTAAGCGCTGCACCAGCAGATTGCTGAGACCTGATGACAGGGTGAGTGGGAGGCACTGGTGTTTCTGCCGCCTGCTCCCACAAGCGGGTTTACAAAGGCACAGGGATCTCCTAGGATCCCCGGATCCTCCTGCTTTGCCTAAAACACCCAGCGCTGCCTGGGATCCATTTGCAGGAGCATTGTGTATCGGACAGCAGAGTGATTATTCGCTCTGGGAGCACCTGTGAGTCTCAGCTGGAGCATTGCGTCAAGCTTTCGGGGAGACGTGTTAATAAAAATGTAGAAAAATCGGTAAGAATCCAGAAGGAAGGGAAAAATCAAAAGAGTAAAAGTTTAAAAAAGTCACCTATAAAAAAAAGTTGGAAGATTTTCAGGTTTTGATGAAAAAAAAGGTAAATAATATTAGAAATGGATATCTAATCAAGTGTGCTTGATTCACCGGTGGTAGTAAAGGAGGCATTAGAATCATAGAATTGTTAAGGTTGGAAAAGACCCTTAAGATCATCGAGTCCAGCC